GGTTGTTATCAAATATATTATTGCAATTGTTATGATAAGAGGGATGGGTGGACTTAATACTATACGCACTACATGACTATTATGTCTACTCATTATATAATTGTTTTAAATGCATACACTAATGCACACATGAAATCTCGGTGATGTCAGAGATGAGATACGTTATTTTAATATGGACACCCATTATTATTATTATAATATCACACATAAATCCACTATGAAAATGCTGATGTTGAGTAACTATCAATGTTCCAGCACAGAGCAATGCCAAAAGCTCTGCTGTAGTGTAAGAGATTATAAAAAGGAACTAAATCTACGGGTTATACACTGCTCATTGTCCAGCAACAGTCATTTTAATGTAATGTAATGTAGTCTGCCCTATAATACTGAGGTCTTGCTATACATGTGATGATTAATTTAAAATCAATGGGGAACTAGTCCTCCCACTGATATCAACGATGTGGAGCTAGTCCTCCCACTGACACCAACAATTTGTAACTAGTCCTCTCTCTGACACCACCAATGGGGCACTAGTCCCCCCACTGACACCAACGATGGGGAACTAGTACTCCCACTGACACCAACGATGGGGAACTAGTACTCCCACTGACACCAACAATAGGGAATGATTCCTCCCACCTTCCCACTATCCCTAGTGATGGGGCATTATTTCTCCACCCACTGCCCACAAGCGCCAGATATTTTGTTTTTGCTCCCACTAACCACTAAGCAAGGGTTAACTGCTTGTTTTTGTCTAGGTTAAAAAAATAAAGTTATACCTCACCCGATGCTCTGAGCCGGCTCGTTCTTAGATCGGCCCCTTAGAGCCTCTCTCCCCCTCCTCTACAGTGGTCTAAGGTGCCATAAATCATCACATTCTATACACAGTTTACAGACGTGGGGACGCTGAGGAAGAGGAGACAGGCAGGAGAGAGCACTGTGACAGCTGGCCAGCTAGGAGCTTTTGAGTACAGTATAACTATATTATTTTTGAACCTAGACAAAAACAAGCACTTAACCCTTGCAGTGCGGGGGTATCACCACTGCAAGGGTTAATAAAACATTTTCCTAGAGTTCTTCTTTAATTAAGAAAGCCGCTCAAAGCTTGCAAAAAGCTTTGTAAAAGCTTGCTATTACACAAGCTGAACGCCATCTGTACAAGATCTTTGGGCTTTAAGGAAGTTGTTTGAAACTGACTGCAAGCTTTGCAAATACTTTGTATTTTGATGTATACACTATGCTGTTTAAACTAGTTATTACCTTCCAGATGACGCATAAAGCATCTATCTCCAGCAATATCCAGGAAACAGGTTTTAAAATCCTATCAAGATGGTATAGGGTTCCTAAAACCCTCCATAAAATGTTTCCGCAGTGCTCACCACTCTGCTGGCGTTGTCAGACGCAGGAGGGGTCCCTGCTGCATATATTTTGTTCGTGCCCAAAGCTCGGGTACTTCTGGGGTACAGTAGCGGAGATCTGCCATACAGTGACAGGGGTCCGTTTGGGGTCCGATCCGGCTGAATACCTCCTGCACCTAGCTCCAATGCCACTTCGCAGATACAGGAGGTCCCTCTTAGTGCACTTACTCAGTGCGGCGAAAATGTG